TGCAGGTGAACTGAGCAAGTGGAATCTTTTTGCATTTAAATCGCCCGAATTACACCGTTTTCTGTTTTATTTCCTCATCACAAAACTTTGACCTGGAGTTGTGTTTTGTTTCGTTCACTGTTGGGCGAGTGACTTCAAAACTGTAAGGTTTTATTTATTTATGAATTGTTTTTGTCATTTCACAGTCATTTGTTACATTATAATTTTACTGTGTTTAAAATATAAAACATTACACGACTATTGCAGCACATTAAGAGACTCTCAACAAAAGAACTGTGCAAACATGTATGGACTGAAGCAGGGCTAAACCAAGACTAAACTAGGGCTAAACCAGAGCTGAACTAGGATTAAACCAGGTCTACACCAGGTCTAAACCAGGACTGAACCAGAACTAAACCAGAACTAAACCAGGACTAAACCAGGACTCCAGGTAAACCAGGACCAGGATAATCTTGGAGTAGGACTTGGACTCTAGTTCCTCCTCTGAGAGAACCCCGAGTCCGTGGATCATGGATCAGTCTTTCCACAGAGCTCGATCGGGCGTCGGCTGTTCTTTGACTCGTGGAGCGTGGAGTTCTGCGTCGGTTCTTTCGCCCGCGGTCACTCGACGGTCTACGTGGGCGCACCTCCAGACCCGACACTCGGAACCGTAACGTAACTTTGGCGTTTCATCACTGCTGATCCATGATTTTAGCGAATTTGTATGAAGAAAAACAAAAAACCCACCACTTCAGTCCAGGTTAAAAAAGCGTTGTGACGCACTTTACTCACATTTGTACCGAGTAAAATATTACCTTTTTTTTTCCCTGTAAGGCCGAACATTACTGCGTTACAACAACAAAGCAACACATTACAGTAATTCGTTACTTTTATAACACGTTGCTCCCAAAACTGCGTAAGAAACAGCAGCGTTGTGTCATCATTTTGGTACAAATGAAAACAAAAAAGATCTGCATTTGTCCATCAGAGGAGCCGACAGCTGCACGGCGCTTTGTTGCGATGACGTTTACGCCGACGTCAGCCCCCAGAACGTCCACATTATACCGTAATGATGCTATAGATTATTAGTGTAGAGCAGACACGAGCGCGATACGTCTCCTTTAAGCTTCTGTTTGGCTGAATCCAACACAAACTTGGCAGCGCTCGAGCAGATGGAGGAATATTCATCATGAGCGAGCGGCAAAAGAAAAACACGAAAACGTCTAATGGAGAAACAAACGACGCTTAAACACAAAAGGAGTGGACGTAACTAACCTGCCAGCCACGAGCTCCAAATAAGAAGTGATTTTATTTGGGTTTTTATTTCTCTCTTAACATCCTCGCTCCTGATTGGCTCTTTCGTTGCTATGATCAGGGTTCCTACGGTCATGGAAATCCTGGAAAAGTCATGGAAATTGAGGCTACGTTTAAATGACGACGGTTTGAACCAGAGGTGGGACCAAGTCGTTGTTTTGCGAGTCTCAAGTCTTTGACCTCAAGTCCGAAGTCAAATACAGGCAAGTCCAAGTCGAGTCTCGAGTCACCGGTCCATAAGTCCAAGTCAAGTCCAAGTCATCTGCTTTGAGCTACAAGTCATTTCAAGTCTTTAAACCAAAGTATCAAAATATGGCTTAGATTTTTGCAGTTTATATGAATTTTTAAACTAAATTGTACTTAAAAACTCTTGGTAAATGAGTATTTATAAGAGTTGTAGAAATGTTGATATTTCCTTTTAAATGCCTTGACACGAGTGTGAATTATTACAGTCAAAACTGGAAAGAGTTGAGATTTAAGAGAGTTTAATAACAGTTATTTTGTTATCAAGTCTTCTCAAGTCCAAGTTCAGTCCCAAGTCTTTGTCCATTTTATCAAGTCAAGTCTCAAGTCCTAAAAATAGTGACTCGAGTCTGAATAGAAAACGCAAAAGTGTCATCGCGTCTTCACTTTTTATTCTGCGTTTAGACGAGCGTTTTCAGGAGGAAATCTGTGTGCATACGGTGACGCAAAAGTGTGTGGAATTCGATTGGATGGTTTCTCTGAATCGTATGTACGTGACCTGAGCAGATCTGACTAGAGTTTTGCGTCTTGGGCAGTGTACGTTACGGAGAAGCGCAGAGGTGGGGACTTGCAAGTCGTGACTTGGACTAGAGTCAAACTTGAGTCACGGTTTTTTATCACTTGAAACCTGACTTGATAAAATAGACAAAGACTTGGGACTGAACTTGGACTTGAAGGTCAGTGACTTGGGACTTGACTCGGACTTGAACCCTGTGACTTGAGAAGCACCTTTAAATCTGAATTCTTTCTATTCTGACTCTATTCACTCTAAGATCGAATTTAGACATGTAAAAAGGAAAAAATAACTAAATTAATTTCTACAACTCTTATATACTCTATAAATACTAATACTCTATAAATATACTATGTTTTTTTAAAGTACAATTTAGTTTAAAATTCATATAAATTGCAAAAATCAAAGCTATATTTGGCATTTTGGTTTAAAGACTTGAAATGACTTGAAACTCAAAGCAGATGACTTGGACTTGACTTGGACTCATGGGCCAGTGACTCGAGATTCCACTTGGACTTTTCTGTATTTGGCATGGGACTTGACTCGGACTTGAGGTCAAAGACTTGAGGTCAAAGACTTGAGACGACAATAAACGCACTGACAGGATTTTGAATGTTCAAAAACTATAATCCCAAACCATAAGGTGAGTGGAAAGAGGTCACATGTCATAGATCAGTTCTACTCATGTCGGGTGTACAAAAAGTGCTATACAATTTAAGTTTGACTGATTGATTTATAAGGAGTTTAAAAACACACCACATGACATCACAAGTTTTCTGTTTTCGAGGAGAACTCAGCTTAATTATGCAGGATTTTTGTGTTAAACGTGTGTGAAAGAAACGAAACTCAACCCCAGGTCAGAAACAACAATAAAACAGAGACCAGATCTTTAAAAATGTGACGTTTCAGTGAAGTCATTTGCACTTTAAGGCCTCTGAATCTTAATAAAATCCATACATCCTTCGCGATCTAATTTGGACAAACGTTGCATTGAGTTATAGATACAACTTGAAAGCAAAATTGACTCAACAGCTTTTGGCAAAGAACCTCGGTCTAATCCAGTCAATATGGTTTTCATTTTGGCTCCGATACTTTCTCATTTGCCAAGTCATAAATCCAAATCCGTTCGCCATATGGTCCAATCGGAACACCAGGACCGGCCCAGACGCTGACGCTGATCTAAAGCCGACGCTACGCCTGTCACTGTAACACATTTTGAAGCGCGATGTATTGAGATTTTGCGCTGGCGTCTCGCTGGAGGTGCGCTACGTGTACCTGTCAGAAAAGTCAGATAAATATAACGTAAACGACAGAACAGAAGTTTACCGAACTCTCCGTCTCACTCCAAATCACTACCGTATATTCCGGACTATTGAGCGCACCTGAAAATAAACCGCAGGTGTCCACGTCTTCAGGAACGTTTTCAAGTTCGGGCCGTCTGCTTTTATCGCCTCTGAAAGATTTCGTCGTCTTTTCGCGTTGAGTCACTTCGCCAAAATCTCACCATCGACTCACTGACGTCGAGCTCACGTGCAGCAGCTCTGTTTCCTTCTTCCACAGCAACATCAATCGACTTTTACTTAAAATCTGCATCATCTGCGTTTCTTCGTGTGTTTTCCATGAGGAGGGTGTGTGTATGAAGCGCAAAATAACTGTTCAAGACACAATCAAACGAGCATAATCCGTGTGTCATTCGTTCATTCGTTTTTCAATATAAAAGCAAAAATAAGAAAATAAAAAAACAACAGTTTTTTTCATTATTTGTCTCCAAAACCAAAATGAAAAAACGGATAACGATTTTTTTTTTCAGTTTTCGATCTTGTGTTTAAATGAAGAATGGAAAAAACTAATAACGGACGTTTCTCGTTTACGTGACTTCCGTGACTGCGATGTCGAACTTTTGCGCCGCATACAGACTGAACCAGGACTGATCCAGGTCCGAGACCAGACTGGGACCAGGGCGGACTCCGAGCTTTGACTCCAAGCCTCCGCATGGTCCGAGCCTCAGCTTTGAGCTCCGGCCCTGCTGTGGGCTCTGAGCCTCCGGTCTGGTCCCGGCCTGGTCTCGGTCTCAGTCCCGGTCTCAGTCTCAGTCTGGTCCCGGTCTGGTCTCGGTCTCAGTCCCGGTCTGGTCCCAGTCTGGTCCCGGTCTGGTCCCGGTCTGGTCCCAGTCTGGTCCCGGTCTGGTCCCAGTCTGGTCCCGGTCTGGTCCCAGCCTGGTCCCAGTCTGGTGCCGGTCTCAGTCCCGCTGTGGTTCCGGTCTGGTCCCGGACCTGAATCAGTCCTGGTTCAGTCCGTATGCGGCGCAAAAGTCCGACCATCGCAGTCACGGAAGTCACGTAAACGGTCGTTATCCATTTTTTATTTAAACACAAAATCGAAAACTGAAAAAACAAATCATTATCAGCTTGTTCATTTTGGTTTTGGAGACAAATAATGAAGAAAATAGTTGTTTTTTCATTTTCTTATTTTTTGTTTTATATTGAAAAGGAATGAATGATACACGGATTGTAAAACGCCCTCTTTTTTTTTTGTTATTACACTTACTTACATTTACTTTATAAAAGCCTCTTCTATTACTTCACATCTGGTTTGTGTTACTCTCCTTTGTCCGTAGCCCTGACTCGTAACTCTGCTCTTGTAATTCTGGCCTGTAAAGAAAAATACATTGAACTAAATGTGTCTTGTCAATGTCACTTCTCATCGTGTGATAAAGTTGACAGTTCCTCTCCTTTTTTCTGTCTTTCCTCAGATTTGTCGTGATCACGCTGCTTCAGTCTGACCCTCCAGACCATGAGACCCTCCAGGACCCTGCCCCTCCGTCCCTCCCCGACTTTGAACACCTAGAATGGGGTCGCTCCTCCGCTGACCTCCCTGAAGTCCTCTCCCTCTGCTCCGCCCGTCGCTCCTGCAGATTTGAGCCCTTCTCTTTGACCCCTGCCCCCTGAAGATGGCGGCGTGCGTGTGGTTCTTGTTGGCTCTGAGCTGCGGGCCGCTGTCGGTGCGTGCGGACTGCTGGCTCATCGAGGGGGATAAAGGATACGTGTGGTTGGCCATCTGCAGCCAGAACCAGCCTCCGTTTGAGACCATCCCTCCTCACATCAACAGCACGGTACGAAGAGCAAACCCACTGAAAACTGTACAGGACACACAAAAATGTTATTCAAGTAAGAGTAATGTTACTACAAAATAATATTACTCAAGTAGAAGGATGAAGTTGTGGTACAAGAAATTACTCAAGCGTTAAAAAAAAAAAGTATTACTCAAATAAGAGTAACTTAACAAGTAAAAGAGTTTGAGACGTAACATCGGATTTATTATTTTAGTTTAAGTTGATGTAATTTGATGAACAAAACATGAAATAATGCACAAAATCAGGTATTTTTAAAGACCAAAAATAAGATAAATTTGTCGTATCTGAAGAGGTCAGAGCTAAAACACGTCATAACAAAGGTCGACCTTCTCAAAACTTTAGAAACTGTTACTTCTTAAACCTGACTCTTATTTGGCCAAGGGGCTGTTTTATCAAAGTGGTTTAAGTTGGATCTAGCTCCAACTGTAGCCTCAACTCGTTTCATGATGGAAATAAGCCTGAGTCTGACCAAAGGTAATTCAGGCCTGAGGTTTAAGATGCACTTTGTGTGCGCTCGCAGTGACTCTCAGAAAACCACGGGAAATGGCCAAAAAATTGATGTTTTTTTATGATCTGACTAAACAAGAGAGGAGTCACAGTGCAGACCCACAGAGTTTGATTTGCACCATGGAACTTTTCTGGTCATTCTGATCTGAGGAGCGAGAGGAAAGACACGACTTGACTCCCCGTCCTCTCCTGGTCGCTCTGTGGACAGAGAGGAGGAGCCTGGTTAATGTGTGGTAGTACGTGCAGAGCTTAAGTTCTGCTGTGTGTAAAAGTGAAGCAGTAACGGAACTCTTCACATGTTCCTAACAAGAAACTATAAAATCTGCACAAAGCTGCTCCTCACAACAGACACATGTGCAAGATCATTGTAATGAAATAATGCCCACAGGCTTTTATATGGTTTGTGCCTTTGTGATGAGTGCAGCGTCCACACACACGTGTGTCTCGTGTCCGCACACACGTGTGTCTCATGTCCACACACACGTGTGTCTCATGTCCACACATGTGTGTCTCATGTCCACGCACACGTGTGTCTCATGTCCATGCACATGTGTGAAGGAGCATATGGACTGTAAAAGTCTCAAGCGACATGTGACAAGTCATTTATTAAACTGTATCACACACACAGGTGTGTGTCTGACTCAGGTGGGTGATGCACCTGCTGAAACTTTGGGCTGAAACTGTTGAGACGTTCTTGGAGACAAAGATAAAATAATCTGACAGTGAGTCTGGTCCTGACCAGGTTTGTTTCTTGGTGCTTGTTACTGCGGCAGTTTAAGGGAAGTTCCTCCTCCAGCCTGTTTCCATGGAAATGTTGCTCCTTTAGCAACATTCTCCAGGGAATAATATGCCCTGGAGAATGTTCCATACTCTGGTTTTAACATTCTATTTCCACTGAGTCATGCAGCTGACATGCCACCTCCAGAAAGTTACATACTGTAACTTTAAAGTGTTTCTATACTTTATACTGTAGCTTTAAAGTGTTCACAGTCTGTAAATCTACAAAACAGACAAATACACATTTGGGTAAATAAGTCCATGTTTTTATAAATGAGATTTGAACCAAGTCCTCGACAGCTGCTTCCTTCTGCATCGTCCATTTCTTGGTGATAGTTTTTCTCCTGCTGCCAAAAACACATTCTAAACAAATCCATCTATTGTTCCATTTCAGGAGCCGTGTCCCAGATACAGAGTTTTAAAGTCAAATGGGATGTTAATCCTGAAGACGACTCGCAGAGCTTTGTTAAACTCTCAGAAAAAGAGTGTCCAAACTTTTGACTCCTGAATATTTATGTGTTTGAACGACAACAAGCTGAAATCCTCTTCACCTCTTTACTCCCCCTGGTGGCTCTCTGCAGCATCTGTCTCCTCTCTCATATTTATATTTGTGTTTTTAGGTTCACGATCTGCGTTTGAACGACAACAAGCTGAAGGCCGTGCTCTTCTCCTCGATGTACCGCTTCACAAACCTCACAGACCTGAACCTGACCAAGAACGACATCAGCTACATCGAGGACGGCGCCTTCGCCAGCCAGGCCAACCTGCAGGTCCGCCCGCCACCACAGGGGGCACCGCACCACAACACACACTCAGTATTTCATAGATTTTTTTTTTTTGAGAGGGGGAATTACATTTCTACTTGGTGTTAATTTAGATTTAATCAGACATTTGGATCATCATGTTACCTTTAATTGTTTGGAAATGCTGTGTAGCTCAATATAACTGAGAGCAACAGAGTAACATGTTTAAAAAGTTTTTGTTTAATTTTTGACAATTTGAGTCCCTCTCCCTTTGCATTAGGGCCCCGTCCACACTAGTTTGTATTTGAGTTGTTTTTGTTGTGGATGCAGTGTTTGTTCACGCTAATTCGATGGAAAACGGCTCCAGTGACGGAACGATCTGGTGCCTCCAGCTCCAACGAATTCATCTGAGTACAGATCTGATCCAGCACCGTGTGGACGACTGAAAACGTTGATATGCTGATGTAGAAGCTCTAGTTGCGTCCTTATTGGACCACATCACTGTGACTTGCGCCTTCCTGATTCGCTGGGTTCGGTCATGTGACTCTATTGCAGTAAACAGTGGGCAAACAAATCATAGATAAACGGGAAACAGAGTATTACTTTCATGCTTCCCATCTTCCTCGGCCCGAAATCGGCTGCTGCAACTTCAGACACGGTGCTCCACTTCCTTGTTTTACC